AAAAATCGTTCACAAGGTACAAGCGCCGTTGGAGACCATCTGATGCCCCCACAAAACCGAACTGCGCCAAGATGACAACTATAACTCACCGCAGAGGCATAATGAAGTTCCGTAGACCAATAAGAGGTGAATCACGGTCAGCAAAAAGGCATACGACTACATGACCATTCAACACCGTCATAGCAGCTTGATGGCGTTCCTAAAACAATTTTCCACATTTTTCTCGTTTTTCATTTCGCATATTCTACTAGGAGGAGAAAAGCATGGTAACAGAAAGGTTTACTTGTAAATACGACGACATTTTCTTTTGTTTACCCGTGTAATTCCCTGTAGTAAAACTAATGATGGGTCAAGTGAGGCACAGGAGCGTCAGGAAGTCCGGGTTGCGGCGCCGCACGCAAGCGGCTTTGCAAGCAGCATCGCTCTCGTGGCATTCGTGCCTTCACTTAAGTGGCTTGAGAGAAAAGTGTTGAAGTAAGTAAAGTCAATCAGTTAGGTCATGCTGCACGCGTCGAGCGACGTTCTTCACGCTACTGAATGCGAATTCCCTGACCTGCACCCTAGCTGGGTAGGACGTGATGTTTTTAGGAAATGACATCATACTGAGAGGGGCTGCATTTTCTAGAGAAGGTTTAAAACTCTCCCAACTATGCTGTAGAAAGCCGAATTCTGACAATATTGTTGGAAACAGCGTTGAAGTTCGTTGAGGCCTTCTTGCGGCAAGGTACGTCCTGTCGCTAGGGGAAAATTTTTGCAAAGTATGACCCCCTTCCAAAAGTTCCTCTGATAGGACCCATACTATTACCCTACTCCATCTTTCTGAAATCTACCAATGTGCTACCTTTTTTCGGATTCAGCGATCAAATTCGACCCCCCCCCTCCCTCGCTGCCTGGGGTCCCCAAAGTACGACATGGATCCTACATCTAGCTAGCGGCCAACGTTCCCCAAATACCTATTGCGCCGGGCATATAAAAAAATCCGTTCCTAAAGCTCCAGTAAAAAGATTCAGCGATCTAATGGCGTGCAAAAGGCAAAGAGGAGAGCTCTAAGTCAGCCGTGTATGACGCTATCTGCGCGGAAATGGCTGTAACGAGCCAAAAATTTGAAGTTTTCCAGAACACCCCTTCTTACTGCGGTGGATTTTATGATAAAGCCAAGTCTAAGGAACAAACGCCTGCGGCAAAACACTACTCGGCTCGCCTCAGGGGATTCAGCAGAAAAATAATCGCATACATTGTAAAAACTCTGCACTCTAGCCAGCTCATGGGAAAAGCTAGATCCGATTGGGTGAAGCCCTTCCAAGGCGTGGCACTGTGAGCACAAGCAAAGGAGAAAAAAAGTAGTCATTAAGCAGCTTAAGTGGCATGAAAGCACCGAGCTAAGCAGGTGGTAGGTGCCTTCGATGGTGTAATGGTTAGTACAGTCGCCCGGTAAGCGTAAGGAGCACGTTCAAGTCCTGCGTGAGGTCGTCTCTATTGCCCATAACTGCATTCCTGTGATCAAATTCAAAGTGATTGGTAAAGCAAATGGGAGTCAAGAGGTGGAAAAGCCCGATAGAGAAGGTGCGAGGGACAAGGAGGGGACCAAGTTGTAGCGGTGCGGCGGAAGCGTCGTCCTCAAAAGCGTGAGGTTCTTGACATCTACACCATTAGCTTACAGATTTGACGCCAAATCGCTTGAGGAAGTTGGCAGAACTACTCAGGAGTCGGCAGAACTATTCAGGAAATGTCGAGCGAGCGCGCCTTGAGTAGTTCTTGCAACGGCCATCCGATCTTCCTGACGCGCCCGGTGGAAGATATGTAGTTACAGCGTTTCCTGTTCACGAACATTCCTTGCTGAGAGGGTGCCTAGGTATTTTCCCATAGCAATCTGGCTGGTTGACTGATGGGAGAAAAAAGGGAAAAGATAGAGGGAGGAGAGGAAAGAAGGAAGATGGGAGAAAAAAGAAAGCTGATGGAAACCTGGGCGGCGGTTGACAATTATCCCAAGACTGTACCGGATGGGCTCATGCTCAGGTCAACCAATCTTGCATTCCTCCGGGGCAGCTAACTGGTAGCAGACTTGTCTGCATGGATAGAAAACACTGAAATTTAGATAGGCTAATTGACCCCGGCACTAGAAAGCAGCTTAGGCTGCCCTGATAGTAGTCCGGGGGTCAAATCCCGGATCGGCTCCTGCTCAGGCCAACAGAGCTTTTTATCCTGGATTAGTACGAGTTTCGTCTAGGAGTACAAGAATCCTGATTTGTACATCGGTTTTCACCGTGAAATCACTCACCAGAACACATTCATCCAAATTTCTGGCTGGACACCAATGAAACATGCCAGTGGAGTCGTATTTCATGTCTTGCTGCTCGAAATCCTTTGTGAAATCGACACCACGGCCATCTGGTGGAATTGACATCGAATTTCGTCGCCCTGACGACGGCCTAGGAAACACATGCAATCTTATTGAGCCACTTGTATAAAGCCCCGCTTCAGAATGGTTACTGAAATCAGGGCCGAAAAAATGGTGAAGAGGTGAGGCGGCGCTGTGTGACAGACAGGTTATTGCAGCCATTGTAGCGACAAAAAGAGGCAAAAATGAAAAGCCCCTATATTCAAATACAAATTGTACACTCACTTCCGGAGACGGTCTTTGCAGGGCAAGGCGATTCGACCCGCGCCTACAGTAGCGTGCCACTTTCTCTGCTCAAAAGTCCGCGAAGTTCACACTCAGCGGTAGAGAACAGAGAGAGAGAGAGCGCAGACAACCAGCGCGCCTGGCTACGGTCAGGTGTATGGCTGGCCATAGGGCAGCGCCGGCGGAGTATGGAGACGGTACTGAGGCACCACTTCGCTCCAGCCCCGTTCTCGTGCATTTTTGAGCGGAGAAAGTGGCACGCTTCTGCAGTTGCGGACCACTTCTCCCTGCACTCGGCAGGGATCAGCATCCACGGAGATGAGTGTACAGTTTGCCTTAAATGGAGCACACACTGCACAATTTGTGGAGAGTGGTGATATGAAAAAACAGACAATTACAGTAATCGCAAAACAGTAGAGATCATGCTGTTAAGACATCCTGTTAGTGTTGTTTTGTCCGTACGGTGATTCGCTAAGCAATACGATTCCACTCCATGCGTTGTGGGCAAACGGCTCCAATTTAGCTCTAGTGTTGAGGCTTTCCGCCACGAAACCTCCTCATCGAAGGCATTCGGGGTTAATATGGGATTTCTTCGTGTAAATGGGCTAGTAAATGCTTTGTAACAAACAAAAGAAGTGCATGAGATCACAAAAAGGATGGAAACAGAAAAATTGAGCGTCACGGCCGCGTTCTCGCATTGGTCGGTTACGATGTGGTCATAGTCAGCGTTGAACTGCCTGCTGCCCATCGGAAACATCAAACGAGCGTTCAAGGGAACGTAAAAGACTTAGAAAGTTCCAGTTACTTAGAAGACAGGTTCGTGGTCCCTGATAGAAGAATGGGCGGAGATCTCGGTCTGAAACCTGTTTAGTCATTCTTACCTGAGATTATGGTGCAGGAACCCATAGAAGGCGAAAATAGTTATTTCAGAGCTCACCTAGCGTGTCCCGTACCTACCCTCCTCCCTTACAATTTGACGAACCTCACTGCCTTCCCTTCTCTGGACCTCCTAGCCGTTGCCAGGCAACTTGGAATCACCCCTCTTTTATCTTCGGATATGGACTCCATCTCTCAGGTAGTCGCAGAGGCACATTTAGGGCTCAATCAGTGAAATCTCTTTCTTGCAGAGCTGGTCCAGTCTCAAAGGTTGTGCCTTTGAGACTGGACCAGCTCCGCAAGAAGTGAGTGAAGAGGGCGTGCAGTTGCCTTTACCCGAAGTAGAGCCGTCCCAAAAACGTGGTTCACCTATCTGGGGTTGATATACCATTTTCACTTTAAATTCACCCTTTTTCAAACCAAATTCATCCTTTTTCAAACCAAATTC